CTCAGTCTGAAGAAGTCTCTCGGACGAGAGACGAAACGTTTCTACATTTTTTGTTGTTTTGCTTTGTTTTGGTTTTTTTTGAATGTCCAGAGGACCAGATTTAACTTTTTTAGATTTTTCTACCTGGATTATTGAGCATGCATCAGGATATAATAAATAGAGTCCAGTTGTTTTTGTCTTGAACTTTTTTGAATTAGTCAATATAGCCACGTTTACCTATTATATGATGCAACGGCATGCCTTACTGCTAATATTACTCTGCTGCCATCAAGTAGCTGAAAGTGATACTGCTCAAATTTTTTTCCTCAATCAGAATGAATATTGCTCAGTGGCTGTGAACACTGAGCAAGAGACTGCTCACGGGGGGTGGGATGTTGATCACTACTGGTCATGGTTGGGAATCATTGTGCGTCTCCGACAGCCTTTTGGCAGCAGGCAGCCACTGTGCGGCTGCTGCCTACAGAGCGATGCCCTGTGAAGGAAGGCAGAGTGCTTGTTTTGCAGCTAGTTGTGCTAGTACATCTCCCTGATTTAAAATGTTTCTTCTTGTAACTTTTCATAAAAAAAACGTATATTTTTGAATTTGTTAGTAATCTGTTATGATTGTGGTTTTGGGATAGAAGGTATCCTTTTATCTCTCTCTAAAATAAACTAAAAACATTTTGCCCTGGCGAATAGCTTTGGGTTCATATGTCGTTCATGTTACTAGAAACACTTTCATTGCTAGGGGAATACTGATGTTAAAAAGTGCTTTTCCTGAAAATGTATTGAAACTTTTTTTTATACAAAACAGCACTTTAAAAACGTTCTACATGTCTTTTAGTCATAATTTAACTTTGTACATAATAATGCAATTAATCGAGATTAACCTCAAAAATATTTTGAGATTAATCATGATTAATTGTGGGGCAGCACGGTGGCGCAACTGGTAGAGCTGCTGCCTCTCAGCGAACAGGTCCCTGGTTCAAACCCCGATCCAGGTGCCTTCTGGGTGGAGTTTGCATGTTCTCTCTGTGCATGCGTGGGTTTTCTCCGGGTACTCCGGTTTCCTCCCACAGACCAAAAACATGCATGTTAGGCTGATTGGTAACTCTAAATTGTCCCTAGGTGTGAGTGAGAGAGTGAATGTTTGTTTGTCTCGTTTGTCTCTATGTGGCCCTGTGATGGACTTGTGACCCGTCCAGGGTGTACCCCGCCCCTCGCACAGTGATTGCTGGACATGGGCACCAGCGACCCCCATGACCCAAAATGGAATAAACGGGTAAAGATAATGGATGGATGATTAATTGTTTTTATATTTGCCCAGCACTAACTAACTAACTAACTAACTAACTAACTAACTAACTAACTAACT